GCTGCACTGCAGAAGGAGGCAAGGCACTGCACCCAAAACTGTGCTGCGTGGACGGGGCAGGCAAGAACATTGTTGTCACCCTCTGTCTGGAAGTGACGAATATGCAGAGGAAATATAAATTGTTTTTAAGCAAGGACATCCCCTGCAGCTACGAAATGACGAAACGGATACCGTTTTTACTCTGACCACGCGTGCTCGTTTTGGTCACAAAACAGAGCGAAGGGATTTTGAAGCCGCGTCTGTTACTTTGCAGCTTTATTTTTTCACAATCAAAACACCAAATGGCGGTGGTGGGTGATGTTACTACGCGCCATTAATACATCTGCATCACGAAATGCAGACAGAACACTGTACGACCATTGATTGAAATTAGACACCACCTGTGGCTTTGTGGTTATATGGAAAGGTATGCTGTCATTAGTCACGGTACGAATGCACTCGATGTCGAACTTCTTTCGCACCGCACGTAGCCAATCATGCTCATCGGAGGTGCGTGGGAAGGGCAACACTGAGCACAAAAAGCGGTTCGAAAGAAATTAGGTTTCAATCTAGATGATGATTAAAAAGTGCATAGCTTCAGTGTGTGCCCAATATCGGCAGGAGAAGCGTTCCAGACGGCCGTAGAAGCGCATCTGAAAGCGCCACGCGATGTGGTGACCGCCACCGCCTTTGTTCGATGCAGCTGCTGCTGCTGCGAGGATGATCGGAGTCGTCGCGATGGTGGTTCATGCTCATTGACATCATTGCCGCCCCTCGTACATTTGGGTCTCGTTAAATATCTGCGGTGTACAGTGCAGTCTCCAAATCGTCTCCACTCCATCTCTCTCCGTGCTACGAAGAAGATTGACCATTCCCAGAAACGTCACCTTTCATACACTTTTGTTCCTGTTCATGCTGCATTTCAACAAAAAATTGCAATCAGCGATGAGCGTGTCGCACTACAAACCTAGTGACTCAAGTTCAATTCCCAGTCACGTCTGACGTTACTGGCGAGTGATATGTGAATCGGTCCCGGTCTCTCCCATCACCAACTTGCACTGTGCAGCACTGTAAAGCATTGTAGAACAACCCCCATCACCGATATGGCACGGGGGTAATCTTTATAAAGCAGTGTATTTACAAGCGGCTGTCAATTATTATTGTATCATGACACTACGCAGTGAAATAAATAAGTTGTTGCCGCAATTAATTCACTATTTGAGCAGTGCCTGGACACCAATGCCACTGCAACCCTTTCATATTTCTGCATAATGACAAACATCTTGCTGTTTCTTCAAAACTCAAAAGCAATCGTACAAAAGCTGCTATCGTGGCAATGTCACGCGAGTTGTTCCGACAAATTCCAAAGTAGCTCGATGGTTTGCGCTTACCAACATTTTTTTTCAAAGGGCCCCGAGGTGAGAAACGCGCAAACATCTCTAGCCGGCCCGTACGCAGGTCATTACGAGCAACAAGACGGGCAAACAGCAGGTGGGCCAGGGCACCACGCTGCCCACCGGGGGAGACGACCATGCAAGGAGATCGGGGATATCACCAGAAACATGACACGGCCCCGCTGCTATAAGAGGAGTCCCGTTTAAGACCGCCACGGGAAAGTCGCGTGGTTACGAGCCAAAAGGTGAAAAGATAAAAAAACGACAAACTCACGCCGAAGGACGCTAACAGCGGCACTGGGGCCACTCACCAAAAGGGGACTGAGTTGTTGTTGTTGCGCCTGGCCCACGCATGTGGACAGCTGGTGGTGGGGGACGCATCATCGGTGTTGGCTCCGTGGGTGGGGTTGGTCATGTTGAGTCCGTCAGTATCCAGGGAGGTAAAATGATGCTTTGCAATGACATGTAAACTCAGTAAATGTATTTTCTGTTTTAAATAACAACTTGATTTCGCCCTTTTCGCAACTGTTTTGCAATTGTGCTGTTGGTGTCATTGGATGAAGAATGCATTTGGAAATCTCGCACAGAAGTCTGCAGAAGCAGACATCACAGAACAACTTTTGAGATTTCTTCCAGGTGACCTTTTGTGTCCTAACAGTGGGTGGTATATTTACTACACACCCTGCTAGAGCGACATGCTTAATAGATGCCAGTACGACTGGCATCGTTTCATTCTCGTCGTTTAATTTTAGCCAAATTAAGTGAAACAACAAATGTAACATTTAGTTGTTGTGCAGTCTCGTGGCTTGACTGGATTTAGCCCTTCAACTGACTACACGTGAAAGCCCAGTTTGATCAAGGGTGGCTAAAACCCAAATTCTAAACTTTAATCACAGCGGTGCCAGTCCACAGTACTCTGATCCCTCAGTTCCCTGTCGACATTGAACTGTCTCAGTTACGTTTTTCAATAAGCCACAAATAATACTGAATTCTTTTTGTTATTGACTAATGTTTATGATCGACAGGTGTTACATCATATTAATTATTGAAAATATACAAAAAGAACAACTACTCATTCCCGTTAAACAACACAAATTCAGTTATTTGGGAACATCAATAGATCTGTAAAACTATCCAAAATCACCCTTTCATGCACTATGGAGGGGACTTGAGTGTACAACGTGTCACGCTGGACGGAATGATTCCACAACCAGCTGATCCGTGAGGTTGAGGACCAGCCAGAGTTGACAGGACATCACGACCGGGCGTCCAGCGTGAACTAATATTGCACGTCTTTGCAATTGGCACTGAAATTCACTTTCTGTCACATTCCGCTATAATTTTGCACTTACTCATCACCTTCGGAAAAAAATGCGTTTCTCCCGTCCATTTATCTCACTCTGAAAATAACAGCCCCCCCCCGCCCCCCCGTGGGGGTAGATGTCGTCCTTGCTTTGTTTGTGTGCCCAGTTTCACTCCAACCTCCAGCGGGCTGCTGACCTTGCGTCGGATATTAGCGGCGTGAAATGCCACACCTCAATAATGTAATAATATCGTGTTGCCACAGTGGCACTTGATACTTTACGGAGGTCATCGCCAGGAGAGTAATGGTGTATTGATTCGTCAATTCATACCGATTCTTAAGCTCGCGATGCGCGTATCAGATCGGTCGTGAAATAATTCACGCTCCTTCATTTGAATGTCGTGTGCGGTTAAGTCGATTGGCAGGCCGTGTGTGGTTGGCCTCATGCGTGGGTACTCCCATCTCTTCCAAGGTAGCTTGGCTCACGTGGAAGAGTAGACCACGTGCTCCACTAGAGCTCCCTCTAGTGGAGCAACTTCTGCCAGCAGTGGCATGAGCAAGCAACCATAGGGCTGCACCTTTACCTGTGTAGTGAACAATGGGTCAACGTGGCCACTCTCCACCGCACTTGTCATAGTGTGAATAGAAAGTATCAATTCTCAAATCGAATAGTGGCGCTGATTCTCAAGGATCCATTGAATCGCAAGAGGGAAGGCAGGAGGGGCATGGACAAGCAGTGACACCCCGAGACAGCACTTCGCCACACGGATGAGTCAGGAGGACGACTTGCATTTGGACGATGTAAGCATGCCCCTTTGTACATACAACTATAAACCCCTTGTGTACATGCAACTATAATAACACAAATATTTTACCAGGTAAAGCCCGCTGAGCAATGAAGCTGTTTTTCAGAAGCAACTTGGCCACACATGACACCTCAACAAAGTGGCTTATCATTCTGGAAATTGATAAGCAGCCAAATATCCAAAACGCACGTTGATTCTAAATGTGGAGGGAAAACCCGGAGGACCCGGAGAAAAATCCACAGTCCAAATATACAGGCGTCGGGGTCGAACCCACGACCTCCTGTATACCAGGCAAGGAAGTTAACATCTTGCCACCATGGCTCCTAAGCAACATGAGACACGAGGGTCCTTTGTTTGATCAGGTCAATCGGAACGAAAACTACAAACAATCTGGAAGGATGTTAGAGAAAACATCTTCTTGCGAAGCACAGTACTGCACGTGTGGACATCTGTGGAGAAGATCCTCATAGCTAATCGGATTTCTCCAGGATAAATAAAGAGATTCTGGTACCGCACCACGTCAGAAATTGACTTTATGTACATGTACATGTACGGCCCTTTTGTCAAACCACTGCTGGATGAAGGGCTTTATGTGGGTCCCGGGAAATTGACAAACAAAAATGAGGATGCCCGCTAATGAGCCGGAACCAAGCAGTGCGGAAGGAGCTAGCATCTTGCAGGAGGCATTCGGTTGGTCGATGTGCAGGTGACAAGGAACAGACTTGGTACTCAGCGAATAAGTAAACTAAATAATTTATCAAAAAATATTCCTCCTTCATACATAATTTATGTCGCTCCACATGTTGAGAAAAAGTAATTCATGAGCTGCGCGACATCCTGGCAGTGCATCATTTCAGCAGCACAGCATTGCTCCAACACCAACGCAACACAAACACAAGCTACTGGATCGGCGTTGGCACTCAGCGTCTCACCAACAGGCGTGCTTGAACCAATGATGGTGATCTGCCAGGTGTGTGTTTAGGCAATGAAGGACCTGTGTTAGATATGGGTCCGATTTCGACGCTGCTGGTGCAGGAGAGACACACATGGAGGGAATGGAACAAGACAGGTCTATTCTTGCAAATGGTGACACATATATATTCAGGAACTGCCAATGTTGAGGTCTGCTCGCCACGTCGAGAGAATTGGTGCAGTTTTTCTTTTCCTCTGTTGAAGGGACGCAGACGACAGTGGTTTACTATACGGCCCATAGTTTGGGTGGCATGGTCACGATTGGACGGATGCGGTGATCACGAAAACTCCGGTCATCCTCACAGCGGCTTTTGGCTAACCATCGAACATCACGCACCGTCTGGAACGCTCTTCCTTCAGATATTAGGAAGCTATTGAGAGCTATGCACTTTGAAATCTAAATTGAAAATTTCTTTAGAACTCCTTTTGTTATTATTTTGTTGTCTTTCCCCCGCACCGCCGATTATAATAATTACGGTAGCCTGTGTGCGGTGCGAAAAAAGTCCAACAATGCGCACCGCAAAGAGGCGATGGCGCGGTGGGTACCTCGTCGTCCTTGTGCAGTAGCAGGTGCTGGGTCGTGTGCTTCTCCCAGAAGCCCGTTCTCGACTCGACGCGCTTCAGGTAGTGGAAGAAGGCGAGATGATGTCCCAGTCGACACTGGCTCACCCTCCGCTGGACCGCCTTTGCTTTGCGCTGCGTCCGAGGCTTCCCCCCGCCGCCGCCGCCGGCGTCCCGAGCGCAGCCCTGCGCCTCCTGCCGCTGGTCCTGTTGTTGGTTGGGGGGCGAGTCGGCCGTGAGGACATCGGGCGGCCGGTCCGGCGAGCCGCGGCCGGCCACCACCCCGGCGGAGGAGCAGCCGAGGGGCAGCAGGGTCCGCGTGGTGTCCTCCTCCACCTCGCAGACACAGCTGCTGCCCTTGTGTTGCGTCCTGCGGGAAAAAAAACATTCGCGATGTCTTTGTCGGTGTTTACAGAACCGTCGCGGTGTATTATCAGCAGCAGCAGCAGCAGCAGAAGTCGTGGTCAATCAGCTGCTTGATCTGGATGAAGGCCTCCCCCAAAACACTGCCATATCTCGCTATTCAGCAATGTACGAATCCGTCTAACACCCGCGCACAAATGTAATACATTGCTTCATCTCCTTGTGGTGGACGTCCCAACGGACATGTTCTGTTTGCCGCCACTCCGGTCATTATTCTGGATCATCGCTTCTCGTGATGTGCCCTGCCCAAACACGCTAAATGTTATATAGTCCATGTTTTCATCTTTCTGTCTCTCCGTGTAATTGCAAGCAGCTCTTTAACACTTTTCCAACGAAGGCTGCAAGCGTTACGCATCACCTCGATCCTCTGTCTGTGACGTGGCTGACAATAACTCTCATAAAGATGATCCAATGTGAACAAACGTTTAGTGTAACGTTGCGTTACGATGACGGACTCACCCTAGATAAATCCTGGCCTTGCCCGCACTATCCCTGCCAGAGCTGATATTCCATCCCCCGGGCTCATCACGACGTACGGACGCACTCCTGCTACTGTGGCTGATTAAATACAGTACAATTACATATTTTAAAAGGTTAATGCGTTTCACGATAGATGCAGATGTAATATTATCCTTCCATATTTATGGACTGTAAATTGCATAGCAGTTAATGGGATTGAGTTAATATGTAAAAAAGTGTACAACATATCTGTAATATTTCCATGTTGTATTGCTAAATGTGACACTTGAGTAATTGTTGGATGCAACACTATATCTAATTTTACACAGATATACACGGTCTGTATAATAAGAGGGCTGTAAATTATGTTTTATAAATAGGGTAGGGCGGAATGGTTAATGCACTGAGCCATGAACCCAGCGACATAAATTAGATTCCCGACCGCGGCTGACATCAGTGACAAAGTGACATCTGAAATGGTCCTGTGCCAAAGCTTCGACAATGTGCACCGATCAGCCATGGTGAATTATGGGGGAGGCAGTCTACCAGCAGTGGACTGGCAAGGGGTTGTGTTTAGTTGAACAAATATAAAATAAATAAGCAGGGGCGAGATGGGAATTTGACCATTGCAGGATCATGAGGGACGGTGATTATGTAGGAAGGTCTCCATCCAGCAGTGAACAGATAACAGCAGATGATTCTGATTATTAATAAACCACAATATTGTCAACAACCACCACCTGTGATAACGAGTTCCTACATTTCTTTCCCCATAGATTTACATCGGTCAGGTGGTGAGCATCAGTTGTTGTGACTGACTGCATTCCCTCTTAACGAGACATTCATTTTCTATAATGGTGCAAGAGAAGGCATTGCATAACATATAAGCGCTCCGTGCAATGGGCGGTCCTTCGTGTAACACATCTTAATGAAAACACCAGATTTCCTGGTGGAGTTTTACGCATGCCGACGCTGTTTATACCCAAAGTCATGCTCATGCAATCAACTTAAACAACGCTTCATTATGGCTGAGGCTGTATTTACTGTTTAATTACGTAGGATTTGTTTTACATTGTTTATAAATGCTGTTTATTGTTTATCTTGTTTGCAGTAAGGTCTGCTGTAGGTTTCGTGTAAATAATTTGTCGTTTTTTGATGTCGCTAATTTGCACATTTCCTTCCTGCGACGAAGCCCAGCGACTGTCAGCACGGCTGACAAGTGTTTGGCCGGAGTCTTCCTCGTGACACAGCTGCCTGGCTCGATTGCCTTACCAGCTGAAATCAAGCCGCTGAGTCTGAACTCCAGGACAACGTCGCACATCCGACTCGCCGGGGGCCGAGGTATGGTCAGGGATGTGACCATTCCTTGGAGCATGACAGTTTCACCACGCACAAAAATGCGTCACCAGTGGAAAACGAAGTGCCAACTCCTCCATCCCACTCGACAAACAGGACAATGTACAAGAGGTTAAGAACGCACAGCTGAATTTGATAGAAAATGAGAATTACGCCGAGCACAAATATTGCGCTGGGTGTGGGCAGTTGATGGGTCAGGACGGATGTGACGGTCGGATTTACTGTACTCTCATGAGATATGTGTTTTTTTATTAAACAAAACGTGTTTATGTTGTTCAATCGGTTGACCACTTGCTTCAGGACAATTGTTGGAGGGACATAACCGAAACGCATAGCAGAACGTGTGCAACTCGGGGCAGTGATTCAAGGTCGTTGGGAACGAAAGCGATGACAACAAAGAGGTGAGAGAAACAGCTGGATGGCAAGACGAATCACTTTGATGATCAAACTAATTTGATCATCAAAAGCAACATTAATGATCCTCAAGAAGAAAGTTTCCATCTGTGTATATTACCTGCCTTGCCATGTTAATTGTAATATGGAGGAACGTGGAACAAACGGTGAAAATAATGCATCACATTGAGAGACGGGAAAATAACCACGTGGATAAAATAGCACAGTAGAAAATTTGACTCAACACACTCTTCAACAACATAGCACGTAACGAGGAAGGCCCATTGCCCAAAACGTCGCCGATTATATACATCTTCTTTTAAGGCAGTGTCGTTGACGAATGTGTGAAGCGTTTGTGTCACTGTGCTTGTACCATTGTCAACGCAGCATCATCAAATGATTTGTTTTTAAATAAGTAACTGACCTTGGACAGGACACACTGTATTGATGTATCAGTGATGACAGCCAGTGGACAATACTGGTGACAGAAGAGCAACTAAAGGAGTGAACACTGCCGACATTATGAACACCACGGAAATGTCACAAATTAAATCAGTTCCTCCACAGGAGTGATATGGATTGTGGCATACCACAACCATGAATAAAAGTACCGACTTGGGGAGGCCTTCATCAAGCAGTGGATAAGCAATGTCTATGGATGATGGGTGATGAAACGCGTTAGGCCAACGATCACACTCGTTTTTGTAAAATGGCATTGTCAAAGGGGCATAATCTCCCGAGAGGTGATGGAATGTGCCTTGAGTGCTTGGCACTTTGCTGTCCACACGACCTCTGCACCCCGATTCTAATCCAGATTAATCTCTCTTAATTTGCATGCCAGGGACACTGGCTCGTCGTCATCACCACGCTCTTCACATACCGTCCACAATTACGCCATTCTACACCAATATCTACTCAGTGAAGTCAGCTGCTCATTTAATGCACACTTGCGAAGATAGTATTTGGTTTCCTCCCACAAAAGTTACAGTAATTTGTAGGTCATATCATATTTCGTGTGCTCACAATATCATGACCTTTTAATCATTCAGTGATGTAAAATATTAAGTTTAATTTGACACTCACACATGCTCTTGTAAGAATACAATTTTCAGTTAAAACTCCCGGCACAACAAAAAATAGATAAATAGGCACTATCTCATTCAGATATCTCCACATAAATAAAGTATTTCTTACACAACACATTGCCCCAATGGCCTTCTGGGAGTGCATAATCAGCAGCATGATTCAGCACAAGCAAACTCTGGACCGGTTTTGACACGCAATATCTCATCAGCAATCTAATCAATGCTGGTTAAATTGCCAGATGTTAAGTGAAATATTGGTCCTAATCGACTCAAAATTATCAAAGACAAAATAATCAGTTTGCTTGTGCTGAATCAACACTGCTGAAATGATGGATTCCCAGAAGGCCACTGCGCCATTTATCTTTTTAACGTGGAGACACAATTATGTGACGTGTCTGCTTACCAATTGCTTATTTAATTCTCTACAGTACTGTATAGGATAAGCACAATATACTTGACACATCATCATCATTTACCAAAGCCAATAATGATGAATGTTATTTCAGTAAGTTTCATGTTGTTTTCTAATTTATTTCACTATTTTATGAATGTTTTTAACGGAGGAGCTCTGTGTGTTCCACGTTTTTTTATTGCAGTTTTTCAAGTCAAGATGAAATGGCGACACTTGCATGCAGTAACAAAACACAAATCAGGACTCAGGCAAGGAGATACGCTCTCACGGAGGCCATTCACGACAACACTAGTCCATCATTATAATCATCATCAGTCACGATGAATCATCCACTGCTGGATGCATTTCCCTGCCCAAGCTGTTGCCACATCACGGTCCTGTGACACAACAATCCATTTAGTTACATTGTGTGAACTGTCCATATATACACACACACACAATACAGGATGTTCATGGCCCAGTACATATTTTATTTCGTGCAACATATTTCACTTGAATTTATAAGAAGCAACTCGCCTCGATGTCCCCTGCGTGTTTACCCTTAGCAATAATAATAAGAAGAATAAGAAAAGAAGGTTCTACACTGAAGCGCTGCTGTAATGTGCGCGCGTTCTCCGATGTCACTCGCGCTGGTGCTCTGGGATGCCCTACAGTCGCTGTTTACACAACGCGTGCGAGGAGATGCACTTCTCGTTTGGCAGTGGCCCTGCTCCCTTTCCTCCACCTCCTCCTCCGCCGTTTGATGTCGAACGAGGGCCGTGCCGCACAACAATTAACTGCGGTCTTTGATGCAGCACTTACACCGGGGGGAGGCGGGCGGGCAGGGGGGCACAGAGGCACTCACGTGATGGCCCAACTGTTTGATGTCGGCGCATACTTTCCATTTCGTACGCCATACCTGCCAGCTATCGCTCCATACAAAGCTGGCAGTGAATGTGTGCCCCGTGAATGCAGGGCACACAGCGGGGCAGGCCCACAACGCGGCGACACAGCACGCGCGGCATTAGCTCGCACAGCAGCGGGCGGCTCAGGGTCACGGGCAAGTGTGAAAACATTCATCTGGTGGAGGGAAAAGTTCCACTGCATCGCCACGGGATGTTCAATTTGCGGGACTTATCCAAATGGGGTTGCGCGAGCAGTGGCGTGGCTGTCGAGTGTGCAGGCGGTGCAACTGCGCCACGGACAAAGGGCCGCAGTGGAGGTCCACGCGTGCGATGATGGGGAGAGGGGGTCTCAGTGTCACGCCATGTCACAGGGCCCGTGCTCATCACACTTCGCCACTGCTTATAATAAACTAATGGCAAGCCAGTTGAGATTAAAAGGCAATAAATTATTACTGAAGGGATATGCTGCCAAATGCTCGTGTTTTCAATGGAAATTAATTTGACGTGCCAGGTTTGGAGGAAGGGGCATGTGCTCACGGGTATCTTGTCACGCTCGCACCCTCCCCACACACTCCCAAGACCCCCCCCCCCCCCGACTCTCCATCCCAATGACACCCCCCTATCCTGTGCATGGGGAACATGTCACACACCGGACCATTGTAAATGGTGGAATAGATGAACACGATGGAGGCCAATAAACTGAATGAGCTGAATTCGCTGAATTTTGGGGTCAAGGGCAAAACATGGTTCTGTAATTTCAAACCGATTTGGATTGACTCCACGTTATAAGCTTTCAAATGACACGACGTTAATTTAACATTGCTGGAGTTTTCCACACATCATCATCCGTCCACTGTCAGATCGGCAACGATGGAGCCAAACAACTTCCCGCCATGGTGCTGTCGTTCTTTAGCCAGTGTCACTGCGTGGCACAATCTCAGTCTTTGTCTTCTAGATGTCCTATGGCTCATTCTATCCACCCAGATTTGTCTTCCCGTAACTTCTTTGTCCGTCCACTTGTGTGTGCATCTCCGAGTAGCACGGGATCCTGTCCGGGTTTATTCTCGTACCGTGTTGGAACCACATGGACAACCATAAATATATACATGCGAACAAAGATACACATAGTCAGCGTATCTAGCAGATTGGTAGCGTACATTGCAAAAAACATGAATACGGCTACTGAAAGTGTGCCCATCATTCCTGAATCCAACACTGTGAAAGTGATCATCCACAGCGGCTGCATTTCATCTAACGGAATATATATAGAAGAGTAGTGTGAGCTCATAATAATATAATTGACTGGTATTTAAATAAATTATAAATATATATACATGTAATGTTTACATCGATGCCCTGTTGACCCAGAACTGTAATGCGACGTCTACATTTAAAAAGCACTTATAACTAATTTTAACAATTAAAACATTTCAAATGACGCTGTTTTTGTGACATAATACGCTGCTCACATCATAACACATTACCTCAGTGTGTTGCGAGCTATGACAAATCGAAGTTTACTTACCATGCATTTTCCAAGGGTCCCATACTCATATCAGATCCAGCTGTTGTATGGCAGTCTGGGACAACACTGTACAGAAACTCAATGACGCGCTTTTAAAGAGCGTGCTGTCACGGCCCCTATGCCAGGCCGAATTAAACCCGACACCCGGTACGGACCTGCTGTGAACGATGCAACCACCTATCACAACATTGTTCTCAATGAGTCGGGCACCATCGTGGGAGTAATAATGTCTTGCAGTGGTCGCCTTTTTCATTATGAGGACGTCGCTAACAAGCGGTCCAAAAATAACACAATTGATGGGTGGCCGCCTGGCATGCCATGGGTGGAGCTATCACGGAACAAACAAAGCCATGCTCCCACCAGCCAGGAATGCCCGATTTTGTTTTTCAATTGCTCGGCACATCATTATGTTACGAGCACCACGGGAATACAAAACGCATCTGAGGTGTAAATCAAAACCATAATGTTAGGACCTACTCTCTCTTCGGAAATCACACGCTGGTACCAGACCAAAACGAGCGTGTGATCAATGAGCTAATCAGTCGCTGTCCTCATTAAGCAGACCGGATGAAGCATGTTATTCTTGGCCTTCGAACCAATTATAGTTGAACAGTGTCTCATTAGCCCCACTTGCTACCTTTTCGAGTACAAAGGCCGCATGGACACACTCCAGATTGGCACATCGTAACCGAGCCTTTCCGAATTACTTTGCCATGTTAATATCGCGCAGCTGTATGGAACTCTTTTCATTCATTTAGTGTGCAACTTTAATTCACGGTAATATATGTGCGCATGACCCAAGATGACCTCAGCGTTTGTAAACCGCTATTCGAGTGTGGTTCTATTAAAAGATCAAGTGCGGATATAACACCACGCTCTGGCGTCACGCTTATCTCCACCACTTCTGCTGGAATTCACACATGGCTGGGCACTCGCTCAGACCGATCGAGCCTTTTCAGGATATCTTAGCAATAGTTCATTTCTGCGTTTGACCAGAAGCTGTGGCCGGTAAACAATGCATGCGCATATCACGCCATGGTGTCATGCTTAGGTCATGGTAAGGTTAGGGGCGTGTGGATGGCTGGATACACGAGTCCTGTTCAGGCATAGTCTATTTCACATTTGGTTGGCGATTGACCCCTGCTGGAAAAGTTTGTGTTGCACCACACTCCACTTTGTTGTCCTTTAAAATGCAAGTTTACGGTGCGAAAGAAGTTCAACACAGGTACATGGTGTTGCATTTACAGGCACCCCATTAATTTCTAACGACCCTTTTACTCTTCCTAAAAGGCGATTGTATACCATGAAAAAAATGCCTCCACGTCTTAGTGTTAACATATTTAGTAAGTGTATCGAGATTTGTAGGAGTCGCATACAGGGTTTTGAAATAAAATATTTTCTCGAGAATATATACCCCTATTATTTAGTGAGGGTATCTATGATAAATGGATCAATGCGGTTGATGAGAATAATTATTTATACTGGAGGAATCTGAGGAGCTGCTAGGCTTCTCTTTCACAGATGTCCAGCAGAGGGCGGGATTGAAAGACTTTCTACAAGTTGGTAACGTTTGCTGTTGGCTGTACCAAAGCACTGCACAATGTATTGTTGACGAAACACATTTATCGTTAACAGAATTGGTAAAAATGGCAAAAAAATTTCATATAGAAATACATTAAAGTAAATATTCCATCAGTAAATGCAAACATGCTAGGAGAAAAATGACAGACTATGGGTGGGTTTCTGTGAAAATAACATTGGAGCCAAATTGAATCAGATCCAAATTTCAGCCGAGCTTCCAAAATTGAAACTGAATGAATCCATAGCTTTCTTGCTAGAATTAAAAATGCACATTAACAATTGACAAGGCAAAATACAAATGTCAGAGACGACATCATGGTAGTTTTAACTCGCACACCATGGTACCTGTTTACTCTCGTATTATAGCAACTAGTTTTTTTACTCTCAAACTGAATTTTTGTTATCACAGTAACTGTTAATCTCTCGTGTGTGCTTCCGGGTTGTGTCGTGCGTTGTTTGGCACGGCGCCGACTTCCCTCCATGTGCTGGGAGCTTCTCTAGAACATGAATTGCACCATCGCACATTCTTCCTTGCTGATGATTATGGCTCCTGATGGGTGTCTGATGTAAGCTGCCCAAAGTTGTTTAATTGCTTCGTCTGAGAGTAAAGCAAAGGACAGGGATCTTTTTTCCCAGTATCAAAGTATGAAAGAATAAGAATAGGTGTGTACCCTTTCTAGCAATTAAACAGGTGTTAAGATGTTCAAACACCAAATAGAAACCTTTTGTAAGGAATCGTGTCTACACATTAACCACGCGTGCTTGTGGGGAACATGCTCTAATAATAATATGCATCGTCTTTGAAACTAATTGGTCGACACCACACAGAGAGATCCTTCTTTCGGGCCTCGTCTCACCAGTGTCAGACCAGAGAACGCCAATTGTTCGCCTTTTAGCGTTCTCTGGTCTGCCAATGGCGAGACCAGGCCCGAAAGAAGACTCTCTCTGGTGTAGACCAATCAGTTTCAAAGACAACACCATATATTATCAGATCATGTTTTGTTTGTATGTTCACCACAAATGCGTGTAGTGAATGCAGAAATGATTCCTTGCAAAAGGTTTCTATTTGGTTAGAACATCCTACCACCTGTTTTATTGCCAGAAAGGGTAAAACCTATTCTTATTTTTCATACAAAGTACAGGAAGTAAGCTCACCACGCGCGCATGCGCAGTGAAACCGTCGCACATAATAAAGTTCGCCGGAGTCTATGAGCGGGAGGACCTACGTAACAGCACGGTTACTCTTTATACAATTCTTGACACCGTGATAACTTAATTCTCACACCATGGTAACTGCTTTTAACTCTCGCAACCATGGCAACTCCTAACGTTCACCATCATCTTCATCTATCCTTTTGCTGGATAAAGAGACCTCCCCAAGTGTCACCCCTCACAATCCTGCACTGCTGTGGAAACTCGCCAGCGTTCCCTCCTTTAGCTTGCACTCTAAGTCACGTGTCGTGCCCCGGTACATTCACTTTTCTTAACAGCCATTAAGATGCCTCTAGCTTGCGTACGTTCCAGCCCTGCAGTGTGACCTTGTTTTAAGGGGAGCATACACAACAACAAAAACCCAGCGGAGGCATGGCCGTCAACGTTGAACAAACTTTAAATAAATGCTGAAACCTATACAGAATAATTAATTATATAATCAGCGTTGTATCTATAATGCATGCTCGTCTCCCACACCATATAAGAGGAAAGGCTGCGACACCCATTGTTTTCTCACTTGATGTTAAGAATAATGAAGGGGGCTTTGTCATCACACCGATGGGGGGGGGGGGGGGGGGTGCTCAGGCCCCCTCCAGCTATGGGACTGCTGTGACGTCTGTGCACAGAACATGATGCGATTTTATGGTACAAAGCATGCAGTTTTGTTGCAGTGCATGCTGTGATGTCACGGTGTAGATAGATCCCACCCTGACGTCACAGTGCACAGTGATAACAGTCCATCAAAGCACGCGGTGATGTCAGGTCACAGAGCATGATATGATGTCACATTGCACACAGCATAGTCACATTATACAGAGCACACTGTAATGATCCAGCCCTGTAATGTGACATTTCTTTTAAAGAGAGGGAATACAAAAACACAGAGGAGCAGGACAGGGTATATTTTAAACACGTGACACACACGTGGAGCATGCATATTGCTCTAGTTGACTCACTAGGTATGAGGAAAGGCTGAAGCCCATATCTTGAAACTGGTGTTAAATACTGTACCAACATTCAGATTTTTACGAATTTTCCAATAAGTGTTGCCACGTCTTTTGCAGCCACGTGCGTGCCACGCCACCAACGAACACCAGCCAAGAAAACACAGCCTTTGTTTCCGCCTATAGACTCAAGATTCCGTGATTCTTTAAAAAGTGCCAATTCTGAATGGAATTCAAAAATGGGATTTTAAATTGTCCCATTCAGAGCTGAAATGTATCAAGTGTCAACATTCAGATCCAGTTCCCAATTCAAAAACCAAAATAGTCTTCATCATTCCATTAATATTTTATTTACATTTTATTAACTGCAACAATATACTGTCGTAACAACCCTAGGTTCAAAGCTACTGAAGCTGTGAAATGGCCTGTCCATTTACTTTACTTGGAATAGATGGATGAATTCAGTATGTACACACTAAAATCATGAGTGAAAATCCTCACAAAACAAAAATTAAACACAACAAAGGAGAGAAACTTAAGTTGGCAGAATAGAAAGAACATATTCAAGGCTTTTGCAGACTTACTGTGCGAGTAAAGTTCATACATTTTACACAGAACATGTTTAAAGGTAGGTATACAGTATTTGACAAAAACCATGCAAAACAGTTACAAAACCCAACGACCCAATAATATGACGAAGCTTTTTTTTCTCTCATACAACAATCACTTAATGAGACAGAGGCATTTGCACTAGCCTTGGGGAACAGCTTGTGAACCGGGTAATGTTTGTGAAACCTTGAGCGGTTTACAAAATGCTAATTGGCAATATTAAAAAAGAAAGTGGGAACAAATATCCGGGTTGTTTTGTTGTTGACGCACATTTCTCACCACCGTTAAGAACGACGGCCATCCTCTAGAGGCAGCTGTAATGTTTCCAATTTGGCGACAAGTGGATTGGAGCGTGCATTATTTTGAAACGCACCCGTGTGTGTTTTCACCATTAACATGCTCATAATGCGCCTGACTGGTCATTTGATGACACTAAGAAAATAATTGGGGGGGGGGGAGGGAAAGTCAGTTAAGTCATAATAGAATTAATGATTCTAAATAATCACCTGTCGGTAATACGCAAACCAAGGGAAAGGGCCTTAAACAGCTGTACAAGTACTTATCCTGCGGTATAAATGTTGGCGCAATCCATTGATAAATACCAACTTCTAGCCTGTCTCAGCCCTCTTGGCCAAAGTCGTCTGTGAACTTCTGGAGCTTTTTGAGGTCTTCAGAGTTGACGGTGGGCCGTGTAGTGGCGAGTGAGCGTAGCATGTCCGACTGCAGAAAATATTTAACAAAGCACAATTATTTAATCGGCAAATGCATAAAGAGTTCCATGCATTATTAAATACATAACATTATCTGTATATGAACATGTATACAACAAACAAATGCAGCTTATGATTTTATATATATATATATAAAATTTTACTGCATAACTTAGCATCCGTTTAGATACATTATCTCATTCTCAATTAACTTTCAAACAGGAACCCCAATTGGACAAAATAATTATAAAATATAATCTCTTCCTCGCTGCACCAGTCACAGTTCCACTGCTGGGTTATATTGTTTCCGCCTGAGGACGACCGCTTGTGTTGCGATCGAAACGTCGTGATATATATAGTTTTTCTACCTACGTGACTTTACCAAAAGAACCAAAGAGTATGGATTCCTGCAGTCACGAAAGCTTCAAATCAAGATTGACGTACATACATTTCAGTGAGTTTTTGTTTCACTTAGTATTAAAATAGCAAGCTCAAGGACTCATCGGACACTAAAACTATTTTTAATCCCACATTAATCTTAGAAAAGATGCATACCAAAGTACAAGGCACCACCGCACACTATTACATTTCCCAGGGTTTCTATTGGATAAGTCCCTAATAGCAATGGAACATTATATTAAAGTTTTGTTAGTATTGAATGTGTACAGTAGTTTTAATGTCCCTCCCCAATTTAGACAGAGCCAATACATAACCATTTAAAACCTTGGTTAAAAAACATTGAAAAGAAAACCGGAAACGGTTTTACCGCAGAGACGACAGGCTCCAGCAGCTTATCTCCAGGGACTTCCATCCAGGTCATCTCAATGGCATTGGGGTCCCCAGGAGAGCATGGAGTCAGCAAGTCATCCACAATCATATCTGGGTCATCTCTTGAAGGTCCTCGTACCTGCTCGACACAAACAACAGTATACATGTGAGCTCAACGCAGAGATAAATAGAACTCTTATACAAAACCAACAGAAAGCAGCAAAGGTGCTCTTTTCATCGAGGCAAGTGGCTGGTGGGGCAAGCAATGTGAAAACAAATCTATTGCAGCGATAGTGATGCACCATTTTCTTGACCTCAAAGTTGTCAACAAAATGCTGAACTGCAGCCTCACTGTGTATGGGCTCTACTAGACCATCAACGCTCTGGACAGGGTCAATGGATGGCCAACGAGGCCAGATGGGGCATCCAGGATAACCCTGTGAATGCAAACAGGTGCCAACTATGACGCATATTGGTGGACTTCAGAAATGCTCACAAGAGCGTGAATTGGGCACGAATAACCCTGGCAGTAATTTTACTCTACAGAGCTGGTACTCGTACGTAAAATACATAATTATAGTTGATTCTACAGTTGCATTCAACCTCTTCCAAGATGATGGTAGAACTTCTTTAGCATCGTACGTAGCCAACAGTGCTAATCGGAGGTGCGAGGAAGGACAAACTAGACAAAAAACTGTTATAAAGAAATTAGTTTCCAATCTAGATTTAAAAGTGCATATCTCCAGTGGCTTTCTAATATTAGAAGGAAGAGGGTTCCAGATAGCCACAAAAGTACATCTGAAAGTGCGCGATGCGGTAAACCGTCTTTGTTCAATGGCTATACAAAAGCCGCTGCAAGAATGACCGGAGTTTGCGTGATGGTTTATGCTCCTTGACGAGATTTAGGAGATATCCGGACATTGTGGAGGAGAAGGCCAAACGACAGATTAAAGGTGCTCGAGTGCTATTTCTAATGAAGGCCCTTCTGCCAGCTATGGCATGAGAGAGCAATATGCAGGGCTGCACCTTTACCTTACCTACACACACACACACCATGCCACTTTGTGATGTTATGGTTTTGCAACATGAAAGAGGTTGAAAGTCTTTTCAGTACCAATAGCACCAATAGCAATTGAAAGACTCGCAAGTTTAACAGTCGAACTAAAGTCACTCATTGTGAATTATGTACAGTGAAAAACACGATGCAGATACTCCCTTAAAGTATGCACGCATAAGAGTGTTTTACTGAAAACAGAAAAGACAGAATCATGTATTTTCAGGTCTATACCAGCTGGCTTACCCACATTGATAAGGGTATGCTAATGTGAAGAGCTGGGACAATTAGTCGATTACTTTGTGTGTAGTCGAGTAGTCTACTTAATTGACTAATTGAAATGGCTAACTTTCCAATATCCTGCATCCTGGAGGCAGGACATCCCCAACACACCACAACCAAGCAAGAGACAGCTGATGATAACGCTGTGACCCAGAGACACATGTGGGGTGAGACCGTTTCCCCCAGATATGTTTGTGTTAGTGACCAGTGGAGTAAATCGAGCGGATGATCAATAATCGCTTACTTATAGAATCACAGAGTCCAGCAGCTCTACTCATGCGGACACCACTCACCCTCTTGAAGTGTGTGGCGGACTGCACTTTGCGCACGGGCTGCATGAGGGCATCGCGCACAACGATGCTAATGTCGGCTCCAGAGTAGCCCTCTGTCTTTTTGCCGAGTTCACGGAAATCCATCTCCGACAAACTGAGCGGAGTGTTACCCAGGTGCAGTTTGAACATGGATAACCGTGCCTGTTCCTCTGGCAGTGGAATGTAGATCCGTTTCTCAAACCTTCGTTTACAAAAACACAAAGCACCACCTTAGAAAATGTAGGCATACCACACGATAAAACACTTTTCCTTGCCGGTCAATGCTTTTTATCGCAAAAACTTGAATTTCTTGAACAATTTGAAAGTAAATGATACTGATTCATACTTCATATTTAATCAAAAAATGAACTTTTGGAAAATTTTAGAGTAAATATGGAAACTTTCAATGCTGCTCCTGCTTCGTTGTACTGAAGTAAAGAATGAAGACATTTTTCTGGTCTTTATGATAAAAAAAATACTTTTTTAACTATGTACTGTGCTATATTGCCTATAATTCAGTCCTCCCTTAATTAACAGCTTAGTCCCAATGAGTTATTATCTGTTTTTGATATTTATTAGCTTTGGTGAGCTCGTATGCATGCGAAACTAAAAAAACTAGGTCCAAAATAATAATACAACATGTATAACCTTTTCTTGTACCTGATAAAGGCCTCCCCATGGCGTGTCGGTCATGAACATTTTTTTACCATACTTCACCACGATGATCAGTACAGGTTGGTAAAGGGGGGTGCACAGCACCGGTTCAGATATAATTCACCACTGATGCTAACCAACCGTGGCTGGGAATCGAATCCAGGTTTCTGGGTTTATAGTGCAGTGCGGTAACCACTGCCGACACCTGGCATTTGCTTATACGAAAGAAATACTGTTCAAAGATAGGACAAAGTGGTGTGGTGTTACAACCATTTCATCAGATAATGATGGGAAGCATTTGAGGTGGAAGCCACTCACCTCCTGCGAATGGCAGAATCCAAAGTCCACGGGATGTTGGTTGCCCCCAGCACAAGAATACCATCATTGTCAACTCCAACGCCTGTGAAGTGTAAAAAGCATTCATCAAGCCACAATCCTTAATGGCAAAGAAACAAGCGTTAAACCGGTGGGTTCTCAATCTTTGTGATATGGCAGCCCCCAAACAACAACACTGGTTCCCATGCCCCCACCACAGTCCCCACACCACTCTTCCCTCAGGTTCCTAATACAACAATAGTCATAACTCGGTATACGACCACTTTGGAATACGTCGAATTTGGTATACGTCGCGTTTTGACGAGACAAAAATGTCTTGGGATACGACGTCTTGCTTGGGGTACGACGCGCTTGCTAGAACTTGTATGGGTCGGGATGAGTCACCGCGTACCCGCGTAGACCCCGTTCACGACTCCTCCCCTTCCTCACCACCATCCTCGTAGGCTATCAACTCCTCTCAGCAAGGTAAAGTGATGTTAAATGTAATTTTTACTTCAATTTATTTATGCATTTATTTTAATTTATGTACGCATTTCAGTAATAAGTAGTGTCTAAATTATTTTATACAACCCCATTAATGTATAATATGCCATATAAAATATAATTTCTTATACTCTGGAACGGATTATTTCCTTTCCCTTTATTTCTTATGGGAAAAATTCGTTTGGTATACGTCATTTTCGGTATAAGTCCTACCTTCTGGAACGAATTAACGACGTATACCGAGGTACCACTGTACATAGACCACATGTCTATGCCTCAAATCAATTCTGCGTTAAGGCATTTAAAAAGTGTTTTTAATTAGTGTTCTTTGGCACTGCAACATGTCGCTCACATTCCCCACGCATATTCAAAATGTATCTCGCGCAGTATCCATGCCGCGGCCTGCGCTGCCCACCGAAAGGCTTAGTTGAGACCCGCTGGCTGCCTTACAGGAAGTGATAGTGCCACATACCCTGCATCTGGACCAGGAATTCTGTCTTGATGCGACGTGCCGCCTCGCTCTCATTTTCATTGCGGGAGCCACACAGGGAGTCTACTTCATCGATGAAGATGATGGAGGGCTTGTGCTGACGTGCCATCTCGAACAGATTCTTCACCAGCCTGAACAGAAAATGAAATTCCACGTGCATGTCATTGTCTACCATGAGCCACTGATCACAGGAAAAAAAATAAGCAGAGGTGAGCTGAGTTAGTACTTGGATAGAAGACTGCCTGGATATACTGGGTGTTATATAGACTTGGGTTGCAATGTGGCCAGCAAATTACAGTAATGGATTTCAGAACCTATCTGTATAAAGTTTTCAGTGCTACACCCTCTGTTTTCTCCAGGTATACTCATTACCTCCCACATGCCCAACACCAATTAATGGAATCCTTCAAAGACCGCAATGCATGACTTTCTTGAGTAAAAGGGTTTGGATTAAGGGAGGTTTTCCTGGGTTTATTTTTACAGGCCTTTGTTAATCCACTGCTGGATGAAGGCTACTTTACCCTGAATCAGTCACGGGAGTTGACTACACTTCACTGTAATGGTTAGTGAGGATTGGTGAAGGCTAGTGGGGGGGGGGGGGGGGGGGGTCCAAGAGTGGTTTCAGATACTCACTAAACACATTAGCACATTAGCAGAGACCGAATCGAAATCACGTTGCAGGGTACATAGCGCAGAACGCTAACACCACTTGCACTCCTGTTACACCCCACTGGTTAAATACTTTGCATTATTATTGGGCTTAACAATGATGGTAACTGCTGATTATATACAACTTCTCAGTGCAGGAACAATACTTACTTTTCACTCTCACCCAACCACTTGGACACAAGGTCCGATGAGGAGACAGAGAAGAAAGTGGAGTTGTTAGCTTCAGTGGCCACAGCCTTCGCCAGGTACGACTTCCCTGTGCCGGGTGGTCCGAAGAGCAAGATGCCACGCCATGGCGTGCGTTTGCCTACCCACCATATAAATGATTAGGCGAATGATAGCAGAGTTGAGTACATGAGAGCCTGCAAAACCAGTCCTAATACACATTACAAAAACAGTGACGAACAACCAAGTTTGAGGATATGATGTTGTGCCGCTATAGAGTACTTTTCGGGGAATGTTACGTCAAAAAAAATGTACGCTAAACATGATAAACAAAGAATCCTTAAAGTAGGTCTAATGACTGAACACAATGTTTCACATTTAAGGGATATACAAAAACCACAAGTATGTGATGAAAACATGTGCACATCCAAGTTTGGCTTAAATACAAAAAGCATAAATGAATGAATGCATCTTCAAATGGCAAACAACACCAAACAATGAAAACTTAAATACATACATGAACTTGACATAAAACTATAAACGCCTGAAATAAAAATAAATGTAAAAGATACATATACGAGTATTTTGCCAATGGCACATTATGTAAAAAAATGTAACCAAGACAATGCTATAGGAGGGATCTTCGTTGCTATTACAACAAAACAAATTTCCTCTACCTGTGAAAAGATGTGGGAATTTTATAGGCAGAATGACTGCCTCCTTCAGCGCCTCCTTGGCCCCTTCCAGCCCAGCCACGTCACTCCATTTCACATTTGGTTTCTCCATTACAATTGCACCTGAGGGCAATATTAATCCGTGTCAATAAAACCATCAACAAGCCGGTTTTCTCAGTCACCGACTCAAGACTTATTCAAACAAACTTACATGTTAACAATTCAAACCACGAAAATAAAGCACCAGCAAAAAACAAGGAAACATTGCGATGCTGCATTGGCAGTGGTACACAAGCACAAATAACAAATGTATAATAGGCAACATGGCCACTCCTCACAGCAGTCTGCAGAAGGCTATGAAAAAGGGTCATTGCACAAAAACTTGTCTATTATATAAATCTTCTTGGTTTTTTCGGTAAAGTCACGTAGAATGGAAACAATAAAAATAATAAAATAAAACATAATAAAATAATTCTCGACAGACCTGGTCTTCACCTGATGACGGTTGCTGTGGCCGAAACGTTGTGAGAATTATTTTATTATGTTTTATTTTATCATTTTTATTGTTTCCATTCTACGTGACTTTACCGAAAGAACCAAGGAGATGAATCCCTGCAGTCACGAAAGCTTTAAATCGAAATATTATATAAATGTTCATCCCAAGGGCAGTGTTATTGGCAAACAACGTTGTGTTTTTAAAAATCAACAGTCTTACTTTGAAGCTGCTCTTGCATTTTTTTCTTTTCTGGATTTTCACCTTCACTGTCACTGTCGCTGCTGGTGCAAATGGTAAAAACGCATGAGCTCAATCACTGAACTTCACTGAACAGTAAGTTTGCATTTTATAATAAAGCACACAAAGTACGTAGAACTGTCAATGTGTGGATGTGTACAGGATGTTTTATTCACCCTTTGTCGTTGGACTGCGACTCCTTGACAGGCTTCTTGCCACCCTTCTCCTTGGTCCGGAGGTATTCTTTCAGCTTCTCGGCACGCTCCAAATACTGCTTGCATTTGGCTCTAATGCTCTCTTTGGCCTTCTCGCTTTGGGCTTCATCTACAAGACATTCAAAACCGTGAGTGATATTCACGTACCGCATAGAACGTAGTCAACGCAGCGTAAGGGCGCAGAAAGAGCAAACGTATCAGTCACTTGATTGCAGAGAAAAAGGTCCTTTGACTTCACCAGTCTTTGTGGACATGGATAAAAAAAGATGTCTTGTACGTGTTGTTCCTTAATTAATTCCACTTTTATAGTTGAAACTTACACTTAATGGCATGGAGAAAATACTCCACAGAATGTTGGTAAAGCCTTAGTGCTTCTTCATAATTCTTAGCTTTGTCTTCCTCTGTAGCTTTGGTGACAAGATCTATTGCTTTCTGTAAATGAAAAAAAGTTGAAGCAGTAATTAAAACAAAGTAAAATATCGCCAACGGAATGCACATGGATCAAGTAGATGAGACTTTAACTCACTTATGCCTTTTTACACACAGTATGAGTACATCTGAAAATATCAAATACAGTGAACAATATAAAAAGATTAATACAGATATGTCGGCATTTTTTCTCAAGTAATAAAATGATCTGCACGGTGCACATCTTTCGTGGCATTTTCGCTGTTCTGTAGTTCCATAAAAAATGTACATTGTTTAACCTCAAACCATAACATAGTTGTGATATGTCGGGAACACTGACAGAGCCACGTATATCTAAGATAAATAGAGTTTCACGTAAAAAACCATGGCATCCAATTAAGTGAAACACATTCCTTATTCAGCATTGATATTGAATGAAGCAGGTATGCTGAATAAAAAAGACAACCAAGGTGGAAATTAGTTTGGTCCCAATGTCGCTAATGAGCTTAGGGAAGAGAAACAAGATGATGATCCTCAACTCATGTAGCCATATTGGACATGCACTCAAACATTTTCATTCAGTACAGTATATGTATGCAGAATATTTAATGCTTAAAAGAAAAACACATTTGAACCTGGCAATTAAATATCACTCGAATCTTAGCAATTAACTAATCATTTACAAATATCAAATAGTTCCAGTGACAGTGGAGGGTAAGAGATTGTAGCATTACAGGACCATGAGGAATAGGCAGCAGCTCATGATGACGCATTCAAGCATCCTCTCTGAATGACAAAGGCGTGATGCTGGCCACCAACCCACTCGCGTGGGATGTTGGCCTTCATAGGCGCTTGCTAACAGCACTCGCCCCAACAGTCTGTTAAGGCTGTAGGAGGGATCTTCGTTTTTATATGGGGGAAAAGTGCAGTGGATGGAACACTCTGCTATGAACTCAGCGACACAAGTTCAATCCCAGCCATGGCTAAGGTCGGTGGCAGGTAACATCTGAACCGGTCCAGGGCTCCCTCTAGGTTATATTGGCCTTTATTGAGTGCCTGATGTTGTTTGTAATCATCAGCACTAGGGAGGCAAATGTGGCTGGGTGTGGTTCTGGCCACACCATCCCCTTTTGTGATCTGCGTGCCTTAAGAGGTGCTCCAGAACATCACTTGCCGAACAGTCTTAAAAGTCGATACGGAAAACTTTGTCACCGTAAATGTGTGGATGTACACATGTTTACATTTAGATGAAGCAATCAGACCAGTTAATGTGTAGGAATAAGAGTGATTGCGGAATTTCCAGAATGCAATGGATATTGATTTGATGAGGAAGATTTTATCCAGCAACGGAGACGTCTTGTGATGATGCATGCCATTATATCTATGCATGTGTACATCCTGTGTAAATGTGTGAAAAAATATACATGTGCACGTGTGTATAAGCGTGTGTCATTGTGCGTTTAATAATCTATGTGTCATGACTACCAGCCATGTTCTATCCAATGCTGAATGAAGGCCTACCCAAGTAGCCATTCATGACTGTCTTGCGATGCTAAAATCCATCTTGTTTATACTTACGAGCTGATCTCATCATTCCACCTCTGCAGTGGTCTTACTCTCAAGCGTGTTTCCCTCCTTTCGCTATCATTGTCAGTCCCGTTCATAGGATATCACCCCTTCTAGCGATGTGCCCTACCCAAGTATGTTTACTTTATTTCACAGTAAATATGTTCAATTTGCACGAGTTCGTTCCCCAATGACTATATTTATCTTCCTGTTTCCGAGCGTAAATCCCAACACGCATCCTCCGTCGATCTTTATGCAGTTTTCATTTTTCGTACCTTTCTTTCCCCCATTTTCTGTCAATGTCCATATTTCTCAGTCATGTTAGGTAACACACACTAGTTGAAAACTTACTTTAAGAACACTGCTTTTCATTATAAAATGTTAGTAACCAAAGGACATTCCTGTCCTTTCTTACCTTTCTTATGTCATCATTTTTATCCCACCTGGCTTCGATAATTGACCTATAAACTCTTCCAATTGTGTCCTGCCAATTATTATTTCCTTTTAATCTGGAAACCTGTTTTATATGACATTTAATTTACTTACATTCATATTCCATCTCACATTGTAGTCTTCGTTAACTGCTTCCATAATCCCCTGTAGTTGCAATCGGTTGTTGTATGGACTGTCATCAGCAAATGTGAGACGTTGATAATTTCAATATTCATTATGCCTTATTTTCTGAAATCGAACTCATGGGGAATATCTTCTTCTATCAAGAGTATCTCGCTGTTCGATATCTTCTAACTTAGGTGGATATATGTATAGTTGGAATTCCACGAAAAAAACTGAAAGATGAAGAAAGCATGGATCCGGTCAACAATCACAAGTCGGTGCCATCACATTGACTTTTAAACCGTGGACTTGGGCAATGACATGGCGAGGGGGTCGTGGCTGATGGACGAGCGAGCCCGAGAGGAGCGCTGCTGCCGCAGAGATGGCGCCATGAGATCAACTCATCTGTAAGAGCTCGATGAAGAGTGCCATCAACAGGACCGTAGGGACACCTTTCCTACCAATAGCTCGACAATTGGCTGACAACGAAATTGACGTCTTAAATGTTGGTGTATACGCGTGTAGGCCAGAATGATTTGTATACTCGAGGAATTCTATGCGCTATACAGATCCTTTTCACAGATGTCTGACGTACATACGTTTAATGTAAAAGTCGCATTCATCGAGCACTAACCAGTTGACACACCACGTCTCATAGCTATGAGATGCTAAGGACTTTGATATTTCCCAACTTCAAAACCCACACGACACACGCGCGGCAAACCTTATCCGATACTTTGTCGACATTAGCCTCACTACGACACCCAACCGCGGGAGTGGCCGCTCCGCTTAGCGCCGCTCGCCGGCTTCGGAGCTCCTTGCCGGGCTACAAAATCCAGGCAACGCGTAGGTGCCACAGGCCCAACTAGGCCTCCGGGCCATCGCCCAAACAGAATGCTTCGGGGGTGGGGGCCGAACACTCGCAACCGCCTCGTGGCAGCCGCGGCGAGCGGGGGAGGTAAGTCGGCGCAGCAGCAAGTACCTGCAGAGTCGGTGTCGACGCCATCGAGAAGAAGTGAGAGACGTCCCGGGGAAACAAGGCGCCACACGGGGGCTGATCGCGCTCCCTCTTCCGCGTCTCGGCAATGGCGGAAGTGTACGTCACGTGGGGGGGAGGGGGGGGTTAGATTCCGTAGCGTGGATGAGTGGCGGGCGGGGGGTCTCAAGGGGGTTGGTGCGAGGGGTGTTTCGAGGGGAATGTCAGGGCTACGACGGTGTTGGTGTGAGGTGAAGGGGGTTGAGGTATGGATGAGGGAATGGTGAGAAGGCCAGTGAGGGAACATGAGAGTTAGGAGTAGGGATGGTGAGGCGGGTTCTCTCCCCGCGTGCGCGTGTGAACTGGGGAATGTAGAGGCGGTTGACAGGTGACGTGAGCCCGCGTGTTGCAACCCGCATCACGTGGGTGACGTCACTCGCCCGGGGTGGGCACACACCTGAGCCCCCACCCTCCGTCCCTCCCACTGTTGAATAACATTCCACAATGGGGCAGACACACGCACACAAACTCAACAATTGTTTATTTTACCAGGTATAGGCCCACTCAGCTACCTCGCTCTTCTTACCGAAGCGACCTGGCGATCACACATCATAGCTCAACCAAGTGGCTTATCGTGTTTATAACAGGAGCCAGATACTCTAAACACGTGATGTTGGTTCTAAATGTGGATGGAAAAACCGGAAGACCCGGATTAGAGAAAAACCACAAACTCCAAATATACAGCAGCAGGCGTCGGGGACGGGTTCGAACTCACGGCCTCCTGTAGACCAGGCAAGAGGTAGTTAACATCTCAAACTAAACTTTTTTTTTTTACCAGGTAAAGCCCATTATTTCTAGATTTGAAGCTTTCGTGACTGCAAGGATTCATATTCTTAGGTTTTTTTCGGTAAAGTCACGTAGGTAAAACATTAAAATTAATAAAAGTAAAATAAATAAAAATAAAAATCACGACGTTTCGGAGGCAACATATTTTACTTTTATTAATTTTAATGTTTTACCTACGTGACTTTCCCGAAAAAACCTAAGAATATGAGCCCATTATTTGTTTATTTTTCAGAAGCGACCTGGCCACAAATGATAGCTCAACGAAGTGGCTTATCATGTGTAAATGTATAGCAGCCAAATAAATGCATGTTTAGATGCCCCACTGATTTCGAATGGCCCTCTTTTTTCACAACAGATGATTGAATACTGTACAGTCAACCCCCGGCTAACCCGGCTAATTGTTTTAAAAAATGCTCCATCTTTACAGAAGCGATTAGTGTTAACACATGTAACACCGTGCATGACGATTGGTAGCTTATGCAATGTGTAATTCCCGCCTATTATTTTAGTGCAGTATTTATAAATAAATGACCCTTCATAATCCTTAAATTTCTGAGATAAATGTTGAGTTGTATCCAACTATCTGTGTCCCTCTTTGCACATTGTGCAACACGCATGGTATTGTGTTCAATCGTGAGATTTCAGCAAGGGGTGCCTATTACACAATTTCCAGTGGCATGTAGTCGTTGGTTACGTAGGTCCTGTTACTTACAATGTACAGGACTGCACTTTGTATTCCAAAAGGGTTCTAATGTTATGCAGTGTAATTAAACAGTAACGTATCGATACATTGTTTCTATATTCTTGGGTCTTTCGGTAAAATCACGTAGATAGGTTTAAAGAAAAGAATAAAAAATAACAGAAAACTCAAGTTTTTTTATTTTTTCCTGTTGACGATTGCTTGTGTTGCGATCGAAACGTCGTAGTTTTTGGTTATTTTCTTTGAACCTATCTACGCGACTTTACCGAAAGACCCAAGAATATGAATTCCTGCAGTCACGAAAGCTGTGTCAACATTGTTTGTCGTCTATTAAGACCCTAGTTTACGTCACCTGCGATTGTGTAACAAATCATTAACTATAATTATCGTCGTATTTCAGAAGCTGAGCTGGGTTGAGCATGGTTAGTACGTGGATGGCAGATTGAATGCCAGGTGTTGTCAGCTGTGACTGAAAGATCACCAGATGGCAGCATAACAAGTTGAAACCATCTTTACAATCTTTGAGTGTCATCCCCCTCTGGGTACTTCAGTTTCCTCTCACATGCCACCGAGTAATGGAACTGGCCAAACATCCCAAAGCATGATCGTCCAAAAATGGCCTTGAGACTTGAGGCTTTTGTGAATGGGAATTGTTAGGTAAAGTACATTCATTGAGCTTTTTGAAGGCCGAGCCAGTACCCACCAGCAATAATCAATGTATCTTCCCTGGGTGTTACGACTCATGCATAGAAATGTGTTCACTGGTCACCGATCAAAAACCAGACTAAATAGTACACCACTGCCCACTTCCATCATGCCCTGGTATTTCAGATATTCATCAGGATACTCCTGAAGCTGTTCACCAACTAGCCAAGGACCCAACACACCAAGTCTCATTAAGTTATTTGGCAAATTACTATCACTTGCTTGGAGGGGGCAAAGATGGCAAAATAATCATTTTGGTAAATTTGGATTCCGATGCCAGTACACAATGGTCTACTATTGTGAAGGACAGATGACAGATGCTCCACATGGGAGCTTGCAGCATTCTGCCACTCGTCATGGCTGGAGACCACACATCCAGCACGCATCTTTCCACAGCAGTTGGCAGAATCTGGCCGAACTTCATGGCCGTTTGCGGCATTTCGATGCTTTAAACAATCTCCACATTGGCCTGCAGCCTTACCAGCTGAATGCCCATTCAGCCATGCGGATTCATTCAGCAACTCGCCAGTCCTCAGTGCAACGGTCGAGTGTTGGACTGAAGAAAAAAAATCTTAAATGCAGCACTCAAGTACGAAATTATCTACCAAAACATTTTATTTTTCATATTCAAGCACATTTCAAAAATCTCACAAAACTGTTATACATTTCAGTTTCCACAGATGGCACACATCCACTGTCAAATGCCCAGGCTTAACCCAATATGCACCTCTCAACCCGATTTGCAAACGCCACATTTCTTACAAGCAGCACTACACCTCCTTAAGAAAAAAAATAAACAATACATGATTTTTGTTAAAGATTGCCATCAAGCAATTTAAAACTATGTAACATTTACAGATTTAATAAAATGCAAAGCACTCAAATAAACACATATGGCAGTAATGCGTATCTATAAAACAAAGTGACCATGATTTAGCACTCCATCCAGCACTTGTTAAAAATTCTAAAATGTAGATTCATTGTGCATGTTGATTCATATTAACTTAATATTAAAGAGCCACGTATACATTAGATTTACTTAAATTCATGAAATATCCCCAAACTGTTGAATATGCAGCAATTCCCCACATACAAGCCTGAAAGTATTTTACAACCTTCAATAAAATAAAATACTGAACTTTAAAATAAAACTTGTCTTGGGTATGTTTAATTCAACAGATTATCAGTGCTTTCAACATGTGCTTCGACGAAACATGTACGTGTATACAAAGCTATTCTATTTTCCCTTTGATCATACAAAGAAAATGTATTGACAATCAAAATCAATGCTGGTATGTACATTTAATCTTGAAACATGTCATCACGGTATCTAGCATGTTGAATTTTGACAGACCATACATATTGCTTTACATTTTTTCATTTCTTACAATATAGTTTAGTAGTTGAAAATAATCTATGGTATCATGCACTGTGATGTGCCTTGAAATAAACACGCACATCCACAACCATCCAAGAGGATTTTACTTTACCTTAGTGTGATACAAAAATAATACTGGTTGTTAGCTATGGACAAGGCTGTTGTGGGAGACCATTTTATTTTCCAGTTGTCCAAGACTTCCTCGAAGCTCACAATGGGAGGAGGAGGCATCACTTCTTGTTGCTGTTGGGCGGAGTTAGAAGCATGCACGGTGTTGGAGATTCCTGCGATGATCTGCTCAACTCGAGCTGCAGGGCCTGTGCTCTTTCCTACAGCACATGTGGTGTGAAACGGACGGTACAATTTTATGTTTTGAAAATGAGTCACCGATAAAGAATGGAAACATTTTGCACTTGAGCATTCTCTAGTTACTGCAATATAGTACTATAATTGAAAGTCTATATACAATTTAGAGCAATAGATCAACTATTGCACGAAGGACCCTTGTAAATTGGGGCTCTATAAAGACAAATGCACGATTATTTTGCAAGAAAGGTATACAGAAAATCTACACAATTGGGGTTATTACCAGTAACCACATTGCAAAAACTGGTATAAAACCAGTAACCAGTTTACCGCACGCAGAAATGTGGAACAAACAAACTTACCCTGTGTTTGTCTGTCACCGTATATCTTTTTTAAATCATGTGCTATGAAGGGCCATTGGCCAAACGTTGCCCATTTCTGTACATATTTTCTTAAAAGTCCAGTGTTATTGACGAATGGAGCTGTTTGAGTGTAATGGTTAACACAATTGACTTGCAGACTTCAGGTGAACTACTCTTAGCCACAGTAATGTGGGAGACCAATTTTACTCTTATGAATTTGCCACACCACTTCGCTCATCAATCAAAACAAAAATCACAGATAAATAATCTGAGTAATGATGCGTTGTGCACACCAGGAAAGGGATCAGACAATAGCCATGGATAAACCACAGATATTTGCTGTCATTTAGCAGGCATTGACACTTATTCGTGAAAAATCGTGGATAAGTGAAGGTGCATTTCAGTATCTGTGGGGGGTATCGGTCTGAAGAGCAGAGGTGTTCGTGAACACTCGTACTGACAAACGTCTGACATGTGTCTGTGCTTCAGTCGCTCTCCATCTCCTGTATTTGTACTATACCTTCCCCTGTCAATATCTCCATATGTATCCGTTCATTACTATGTGTACCATGTAATGAACGAGTGAAGGGAATACATCGATACAGAATCCGGCACGAGAATACATTTTGGTGCCTTCATTCCTAACATTTCACAACAATGGTTGCTGGTTTTCAAGACATTTGGAACTGGTGTAATTAATGGTACCAACGGTTACTGGATTAGCAGTTGTCGTATAACAATCCAAAGAAAGCCCAAGTCATAAGGTCTTCTTTTCAGAATCCTGTAATAGTAATAAGTTGTCAAAATTCTATGTGAGTGAAGATGGAATATTTCACAATGCTTGTGGCCCATGTATCCAGCAGACTGAAAAGACAAAACTCAGAAATCTAGATTGCCTGTCTGCACAACAGACAGGCAACCTCCAAGATGTGACCTCGCAGTATCTAACCATTAGACAGAGAAAAAAATGAGACATGGGTGTATGCGGGGTCCCACCAGCAGCAGCATGCTGACAGAGTGCGTCTGGATGTTGTGTTGGTCCTCCTCTGGCACGTTCTTGAAACTCTTGAGCGTTGCCCGTGGAGACTCGCGCATCACCATGGCGAACGGCAGCGTCCACCGTACACACTCCTCCATCTCGTCCCAACGCAGCCCTGGGTCATAAGCGCAATGCATTTACGCTACTGTGGGCACGCGATGGTGCACCAATTGCGATGCTCACACGCTTATACTTGTGAGTGTAAGAAATTATCACTTTCATTTGTTTACAAGTACAGTCTTTTGATGGCATCCATGGGGTTATTTCAGCAAAAATCACCATGCTGGGCAGGGTGGGTTGCAAGTGAGAATCGTAGACATGTGAGTAGAGAATCACAGAAAAACAAATAGATTTTTCCACACGGACCTCTGCTGCCCACCACGTGCATTTCCATTTTGTCATACGCGGATACCCATCCAAGTACTATATAGGATCTACTCCATTTAGCATTCCGGGTCTTTTAGCCAAAAGCTCAATTGAATATGTAATTAATTTACTTGCTTATTGCAACTGTGAGAGGTGTTTATCACCAATGTAAAAAATACCGTCAAATATAAAGAACCCAAATGACAATTCATTGTGACGAATGGCAATCTGGCTGTATAGTACACTCATACACACCCATTAACATGTCACTGAGATTACACTTCCAATCGTATTGGTGTTTACATTTAAACAGAATTTAACATTTGCTATTCAAATCTCTTTTATAAAAAAACCTTCCTGAGGAACACATTTAAGATACGGTGTCATCAATTTAGATCAGTGTCATCATTAATTAAAGGAGGCTGAAATAATAACATATTTTATAGGCATAAGAATCCACTTGTAGAAGGAATAATTCTTCATATGCCAAATAGGTTAACACACATAGCTTTCCTTAATTTCCATACCATCTCCACGCCAAAAATAAACATAATTATATCCGAGCCATGGATATAGCGTTCTCAAAAAAAGGTATTTGGCAGCATAACCAAGTCTACCACTCAGAAATATGGTAAGAAATGACAATAACTTTATTGACACTGTTCAAATATACTTTAAAATATGCAGTGTGATGCTATCACATACCCGAAACTTTCTGCACTAGCTCCTGGCATGAGAAATGAAAGAGCACGGATGCAGCCAGGACACTATAGGAGAACTCCAGGCAACCCACATCCAGTATGCACAGGTCCAGCAGCTGGGATAAACACAAACCACAATGTAATTTCATTTCATTGACATTGGTGCTCCAGATAAGCAACGAAAAGGGAAATCTGCATCAACTAATTGAAATTACATTACAATAAAATGTAAAGCATAATAATACAACAAAAAGCAATGTTGATGCACAGCTTGAGTATGTATGAGAAAGACTAGGTACCGTCTTTAGTGTAAGACCAGTGCTTTAAATTCAAAAGCAACAATTCAATTAAAATGTAAGGTTCCAGTTAATGCATATGGCAGAGCATTAAAGACTGTACACTACTTATGAAAATGACTCGTGACTTTAAAGCATAATTGCCTTCTTAAAATACATCTTAAGGTGTAAAAATTTAAGCTAAACTACTCCAAAACCTTATCTGGAACGTTGGGTACATATGCATTAAAACCATCGATGTCAAGTTTCTCAAATACAGCCAACATCCCTTGAGCAAGCATATACACGAGATGGCATTTATGCTGAACTTCTTTCACGCTGCACGTAGCCAACCGTGCCAATCGGAGGTGCGGAAAAATCAGGTGTGGGCATTGAGGCAGGCAGCTTCAGTTCAGACCTGGGCTTTCTGTACAAAATCTTCCCGTGAGAACTGTGGTTCGAGGAGGTGTTGGTCATCAGCGATTGTGGCCACTTGCATGTAGAAGTTGAGCCAGAAATTTAAAGTAATGGGACACAAATTCCACTGCAATGCCTGCGGATATAAAGAGCAAAACATTTCAGGCAATACATTCAGGTGCTTGATTAACAGAAAAAAAATCACCCTAAATGCAAACATTCGTATCACAACCATGTAAGTTTAGCAAGATTGACCCTGGTTATTACTTGGATGAGAGACTGCCTGGTAAACCAGGTGCAGACCACAGGGTTGCTAAGAGATGGCAGTACTGCAGTGGATTTTTAATCCATCCCTGCCGAGCTCTCATCCCCTCTTCATCAGTTACCTTCAGCAGGTGAAGCTCCATAAGGATAATTTCATCTTCGCTGCAGGCGCCGTCTGTTATATAGGAAAATTCCACCAACTTGGGTGGATACATTTCCTACAGGGAAACATGTGTGTGCAGATATAGAACATTGCATTTACATAAATGGTATGAATACAGGGCGATCCATTTATTGAGATACCACACGGATTTCTAATAACTCCCTTCTCAATAGTTGATTTAATAATCTGAAAGCGATGGCTCCCCATCTTACTAAGGAGTGTTAAAATATGTTACAAGTATATTTATATTGGCGGGAGACAGAGGCTGTGAAATAAAACGTTTATATAATTTGGCCATTATTTAAGAGCGGTATTTATAAGTGGATCACCTTCTATTACACATTTCTGTACAGCATGTCCTTGCTTAATGCATGTTCACACGACACGTTTTTGCTATAATACAAGAGAACACTTTTCGCACAATGCGAAAATGTGCCTGTTACAACATGGTTTCTGAACGGTCGACGACTAACTACTTTTTGGAGCTGTGAGGCTGAGCGGTGCGGGAATTCGGGGTATACTCATGGAACGATACAGTAGACTGCGTACCCTCATTTCAGTTGTCCTGCCATCTTACTTAGCTAATATAAAATGTGAACCGTATGCTTCTTGACCAACCAAATAAAAAGCAACACGAATAGCTACCTCAGCCTTGGCCGCGATGAACAGAGCGGTTATGCCGATGAGCTGAAGCCGAGACTTTCCGACATCGTTCTGGGTGGACATGTAACGGTCGATGAAGTCCTGTGCCAGGTAGAAGGTCTCCCTGTGCATCTTGTACTCCTCGCACACCTTCACCAACACAAGACCCGTTTAACGGCACTCCATATATATACAGGCATTACGCCCAGAACGCACGAGTTTCTGAAAACTAGAATATAAATCGAAAGTACTTGAATCGAAGCAAAAAGATTGGATTGGAAATTAGAAACAGGTATCGCCAGACCGAAAATATTCCCTTAGAAACCATTTAGTGGGGCCGAAATGTTTGCAGTGATGGATAAGTATCATTTATAGGCCCTTTCAAATGGGTTAGCTTTATCTGCATGCAAACCATATAAAATAAAGTGGGGGGCTGAATACAGCCCGTGGGATATAAGTTTCCCTCGCCTGATATATACAAACTATACCTGGTAGTGGGGAACCACCCATTCAGCTCTTGTGAGAAGTAGGCAACTTGCAACTAACACTAAGGTTCTAGGGCAAGAGGAAGACCACGATCCAACTGGATGTCAAACATTCAACGTTTAATGGGATGGCAACTAGGTCAGTTGAAAGATGCAGTTGACGGGACAGTAGTGCAAAAGGTATTGCAAAGCGAGATATTCATCAAGTCATGACCCAACCGCCAACAAGGCCAAGGGACTAAAATAATAAGAACTGATACCGACCTATTGCTCTGGTGAATGCGTTGAGGAGACAGAGCTTGCAGTACCCTCACCTCAGTCAGCCAGTCCAGGAGGATGGCTCGCATCTTTGGTTCCAGCGACAGATGGTGTTTGAAAAAATCTCTGTCCCGTACGTACAGTTGCTCTCTCCCCAGGAGACTCGACCAAATCTCCCCACCATTGACCATGCTGAGGAAATGCAAAAAGATGTTAACACCAATTTTGCTACTCCAATTTTCTATGACTCCCATACCCTAGCCATCTGTTCTGTCGATTCCATACCCTGCTTCAAGTAAAAAATAATAATTGGGATGTGATACGTCTCAAAGAGCAATGCAGAAGCGATATAAATCCAGGTTCGATAGTATTATATATTAATTAAAGTCACTATCTATAAATGCTTGCCCTTATCTTAAGAGTAGCCTGTGAGCAGCAGGTTTTATGGGTCAGGACAGCTGCATAATATTAATGCCATTTATTTATCCAGAAAAGTCTCACCTGGGAATCAGACTCTTTTTCAGTGGCAATTCCATTATTATTGTTTTAAATGCAGATGAAATCGGAGTACATGGGGAAAGCCCCATCATGCAAGGGGCTAACACACCAAGGTCCATATGGGTTCACAACCTATTTACTGTGCTGTCATCTCATGCCATTCACAGCTCAATTCCGCACGATTCACAAACCTTTGCCTGCACAAAGTTCTGGGATTACGGACGTGGTGCCAACGTGGCTGATATAACTGTTACAATGCGCCAATGTTTTCTCCTACAGTTACAGCATCCACACTGGGGTACAGATTTCTATATTTAGAACCTTCTCCACTTATCTCTCATTAGATAGTGCACATGGTTTGGCAACTGCTCAGCAATGAAGATGGACTACTGGCAATTTAAGCAACATTATGGGGACCTCATTTGCCAGTAAAAATATGATAATTGGTTCTTTACCCTTCCATCTGGCAACAAAACTGACACCTTTTTGCAAGGAGTCATGTTTGCATAGACCGCAATACCTGCAGTCATAATACAAACAAAAGAACATAACTCTGATAATGTGCACTGTCCTTGAAGTTGATTGGTCCACACCCGAGACAGCTTTCCTTAGAGCCTAGTCTCATATGGGTTGGACCAGATGACGTCCAACCCATATGAGACTAGGCTCTAAGGAAAGCTGTCTCGGGTGTGGACCAATCAACTTCAAGGACAGTGCACATTATCAGAGTTATGTTCTTTTGTTTGTATTATGACTGCAGGTATTGCGGTCTATGCAAACATGACTCCTTGCAAAAAGGTGTCAGTTTTGTTGCCAGATAGAAGGGTAAAGAACCAATTATCTTAAGCAACATTGACAAACATATACGGTCTACGCAAGGGGTCGCAGACATTTGGAGTGAGGAGCTCTACCTGAGGATGAGCTGCGGACACGGCCTGCTGGAGGTTAGGAAGAGGTTTGCGAGGCGGCACTGGTCAAAGCGCGTGCCGGCCGGAGGAGTACAGTCCTCGTTCTCTTTTTGTGGCGTCAGCACAAGGCGGCAGACTCCAGGGTTGGCCGAGACCGCACCATCCCAGCATGCCTGAGCAGCACAGAGAGGCATGTATGAAAAACAACAAACACAGCCATGGAGCAGTGGAGATTTTTGAATTTGTGCCGTTTAACTCTTAGTATAACCCAAAAGCATATCGGAGGGCTACAGGCATGTTGTTGAAGTTCTCTAATTTACGGACAAATAACTCAACTCCGCTATAAACAACCACTTAAATTTAGACTAATTTGTTCGCAAAATGTTCGCATAGCTAGCGGAGACCGATCCAGCGTATGCATTCCGTGTTGGCAGGGCGAGTACGGGAGCCAACAGCCATTAGTTTACCAGTGTTCCTGGACTGCGTGCTCACGTATTTCATATTGTGGGGGAGGACAGCCTCGATGTGGCACTAATGAGTGGGAGAGGCAGCACCAATTAATTTCAGACGCTGAAGACAGGCAGTGGTTCTTAAATGGTGTGATTTTGATGTTTTATTACTTTAAAATCATAATTCGTATTTCGCGTGAAAAAAAGTTGTTCAAGAATGGAAAATTTAGGGGCTGAAATATAACTCAAGATTTTTTACATGGGAGTCAATGGGAAAACGACAATCGTTTAACGAGTTTTCGCTTACCGAGACATTTTCACGGAACGTATCTCGCTCGCTGAGACACGCCTGTATCGAAGAATGGATTCTTCCTATTTTCCACACTTTTGTAGATAAAGGAGGAATGACCCAGAATTTGTGGCAATGTCATCCTATTCACGTGGCGGGGCAGTGGGTGAGCGTACTCAGCTATTAAGCTGGTAAGACAAGTTAGATTACTGGTCTCGGAAAAACATAATTAAAGAGTGACATCTGAACTGGTCCTGGCACCGCCTGCAAAGCAACCCAGTGAACGACGTGAAGAATGAATAAACAACCAATGACTGGCACGGCCATCAATTATGAGACTGACAAAGTGATGTGAATTCAAATAAATGTTGAAGTGGTATCCCACAAGAGATTAATTAATTCTATTTGCATTATTGCAAGATAGCGATAGTAAATCAATCCTATTATCCATGGAGAACTATGCAAATATCTCGAATTATTTTTACACATAGGCACAGAGAAAAAAATACGATCCACTACCAGTGTCCCCCCATGTCGAAGGCGATAATCGGAGTTTCACTGCAGAATAATGGCGTTTAAAATAACAATGAGTTAGTCATACGAGAGTCTAATTGCTTAAACAGGAGGCCCAACTGCAAGCCACTGCGCACACCTGTTCTGCTTCATTGTGATGTTAGTAGGGCAAACACATGTCGGCACACATGCCTACAGGGCAGTCCAGTCCATTATTCATTAGTCATGCTTTCAACCCCCTCCTCTCAAGTTGTTAAGCACTGTATAGTTGTAAAACAAAAATAGGGTCCCATCCATTATTTTTTTCAACACCAACAGCACATGGAATATTACCGCAATGTACTGTGGTAGTTTACTTTGAAATCATAATGATCAATAATCAAGAGGTGTAGCAAAATAAGTAAAGCTTTCTAAATTATAGAATCAGCAGTCATTTCACATAACAAATTAATCATATTAAAACTGTCCAGGAAACAGGATGTGTGCTTTTACTTAAGTGGAATTATCCACAGCTCTCAAAACTTCAAGACACAAAAACGTTAGCATCGCTTTATGTGTTTAACTTCTTTCGCACCGTACATAGCCAACCATGCTAATCGGACATATATATAAAAACGCATAGTAATGTCCCCAGTACTACAGCACATTTCAGACGTATACCCTGCCTTCACTAACCTGCATTGACCAGTGCGAAGTATGGTCATATAACCCCCATGGTACATGGACATTGACAACATAGTTTATATGCGTGCAGAAATATAGTATACATCATTGGCTGTATTTGAAATTAATTTGCTTTGGGAAAGATAAACCAAATAGTGAAACAATATGCAACTCCACAAAGACTGAGAACAAGACACATCAAACACCATGCATTTTCACCTGCATTTCCAGGGACTTCACTTCATCATGGTCCTGTTGAGTGTGCTGTGTCCTGTGATTTGGAGGGGTCTGCAAAAGATACCATGTGGTCACATTACATACTCCAACACATGGGATGCTGTCGTGGTGTAATGGTTCGTACATTGGGACTTGCACGGTGCAGCAGTTGAAACTATGGGCAAGTTTTTTTTATATCTCACCCAGCAGAATAAATGAGTCGATGGAATCAGCAGGTCGCGCATGGTGCGGGCAAGTGTGGGCAACCCCCACTTCTTTCAAAGAATCCACCAGCATGGAAGTGGAGGCCAAAAAACTCTAGAGCACCCACTAAGTGTAGAGGCCCTTCCACCAGCAGTGGTGTGGGAAAGATATTGCATGGCTGCACGTTTATCTTTTTTACAGAACATAAGCCAATACAGTACTGTACACCTTTATCTGCAGCCCTTTGTCAATCCACAGCAAGATGAGGGCGTCTCCACACCATGCGGGTAGCTTGGGTTGTTTGACCATACCTCACCACATAGTGGCAACCAAGTTGATGAAGGCTGGGAGCATAGACAGACGTTGGGACATATACGTATAACAATACAGTACTGTCCCCCAAAAAATGCCAGTATAATACATAGCTCAGCTTTAAGAGCAGTAAGTTCCCAATTGTGATATCACAAGTTCTAATCAAAAAGGCAAGCTCACTCAATGCGATCACCATCCCTTGGTAGCCGATAAAATGGAAGTTCCTGAGGTGCATGGTGATATGGCTCAAAAATAGTAATTCTCGTTTGGCGAGACTGATTTGAGCCAGAGTAATATGTAATGGTCAGTCTGATTGAGATAAAAGCTCGGTATGGCATACACACACACACTCTTGGTCATATTACAAAGTTTTAAAAATAATAACTGATGTAAATATTGGGAGGGAAATGGCGAGTAGTGTTACATTTTAGCGCCACTCACTTTCCTCCTCCTCGCACGCAAAATGAAGGGCCCACTCTCTTCGGTCTTCTGTCTCTTGGCTTTCATCGGATCTTCTCCGACTTGCAAGCAGACGTGCATACTCAGATTGCTACCTGTACATTAAAAGAGACACAAGCAGAAATATTACCCCAATTGTTATGACGGCTCTGTATCGCAATAGTATTATTATACGCTCAGTAAAACTCGCTCCCGTGTCTCTCTCTCTCCCCTTCCTCATCCGAGTTCGGAAAATGTCGCCACACTTTTTTTTCCTCCGAGCGAATTCTCGGAGCAACCCGCGGAGTGCAAATCCCTCACCGCCCATCGCACACACACACAGACAGACAATTGGCGAGCACGACCCCCTCATCAGTAGTTGGGTATATTACACATCCGTGAGGGGGTATGCAACCCTACAGAGTTATGATGATACTTTAATGCGCACACAGCGCCCAGCGTCTGGAAGGCCACGGGGCTCCACACGTCACCAGGCCGCGAGGCCGCGCTCCCACTCCACAAGTCGACAACTTCACATTAAAATAACATCGACGAATGCCACAAACTACAACGGGGGCAGACGAAGCCCCGATGCTGCTACAGATCATCATTTGATCGGCATTTGTGGATGTAAAATTAAGTTTATATATTGCGAGCCGCGGGACCGGCCTTAGCGCCTGGTGATTTTTTGGCGCAATAACTTCGCTCTCGAGTAATTGGCGCGACTGCGAACGCCGCCGATTCAGTTCCCATCTCCCTCCAAAACAACAAAATGTAGTGGCACCGTTGACAACGACGACGATATCTCGCGGCGATAATTAACGTTGGTAAACTTAGCACAAAGCAGGCGCAGACATTTCGTCAAAAGGCTTTACCCGCCAACGTGGAGGCAGACGGCCGTGGTTCGATACAAGGCCCTGGGACAGGGCGCGGGTAATCCACGTAAGATTAAACGACTAAATTAGCCAAATAACCGATTACATAGCGAGCAGACGAGTGAATTACTTGTTAAGGCTAAGAAGGAATGAAGCCAAACGCTTCTTCGCCAAGATTAAACGGCGCCGCTTGCGACACCAGCAGCTGTCACTGGGAGCCTCTTAGGCAACTCTTTACCGGTGGCAGCTGCGAGACACAGCACGCTCTGAACGGGCGCTATTGTTGGTTTAATCCATCACAATCCTCGCATTTATAATACACAAGTCAAGCATCGCTTAACGTAGATGTGACTTTGCTTTAACAAAATCCAACGAGGACCACCCCCCACCACCACCACTTGCTTGCTTGCTTCAACACACGCTCCAGCCATTGTTAACACAGCAACAGCGGCAGCAGAGCGTTAATTACCCACCGATAACAACGACTACAGAGAAAACAACACACACATCTGCGACGAAGAATCGCTGTTGAGGAGAGAGAGATATGAGCAGATAAGGCGACGTGACCTACGAGCGCGAGAGACGAGCCCGTGGTGTAGCAGCAGCAGCAGCGGCAGCGGCGGTGACCTCCCGCCAAACTTCACTTCCCGCGTTTAAATCCCAGGGACCCGGCCCGTGACGTCACCACACTTGGGGTGGGGAACCTCCCCCCCCCTCCCCAACGCTACAAACAATTGTGTGTTTTTTTTAAATTCAGCATCGCGCGTGTCAATCGCTTGCGTCAATTTTCTCCGTGAATTAGCAAGAAGCGGATGTTTTTTGTTGTTGTATATTTTTTTTTTGGGGGGGGGAGCTTTGGTTTAAAGTTGTGGCGCACCAGGAGGAGGGGTTTGTAGGGGGGCGGAGCCGGGCCACAGCTGTGTCTGGATGCGGAAGTGCGCGGGCCACGTGGCTCGCGCGCGTAAACACGGCGACCTGAACGCCGGCTGCGGGCCGCGGGTTCGCAGCGCGCCGCGCGGAACGAACTCGCCACGCAACGCGGTTCGGTTCCCGACACCGGCGACGAGTAGCCGTGCCGGTCGCGGGCCTTCCCTCGGTCGACTCAGCGGTGTGTTGTCAACGTCGCCACTGCAGAGGCGCAGGCGGACGGGCGTGGTGCTGGGCTCCCCCCCCCACCCCGTGTGTCGTGCCGGTCACCCACACGCCCACCCCGTGTGCCGTGCCGGTCACCCACACTCCCACCCCGTGTGCCGTGCCGGTCACCCACACGCCCACACCGTGTGCCGTGCCGGTTACCCACACTCCAACCCCGTGTGCCGTGCCAGTCACCCACACTCCCACCCCGTGTGCCGTGCCGGTCACCCACACTCCCACACTCCTACACCGTGCCGGCCTGCATCGGTGCTACTCGCTAACAGCACTTTCCCCAACAGTCCGTTAAGGCAATACGGGGGATCTTTGTCTTTGGGGCGACTGCGAACCCGGTTTTAATTTCCCTTCGTGGAGGAGTTTTAAGTACCTCGGGGTCTCTTTCGCGTAGTGGTGGTGAGTGGGAGATCGGCCGGCGTGTCAGTGCGGCGTCCTCAGTGGTGCGGGCGCTGCACCGTTCCGTGGTGGTGAAGCGGGAGCTGAGTTCTCGCACAAAGCTCGCGGTTTACAGGTAAATCTACGTTCCCACCCTCACCTATGGTCATGAGCTTTGTTTAACGACCGAAAGGATGAACTCGCGGGTACAAGGGGCCGAAATGAGGTTACTCCGTAGGGTTGCCGGGCCTCACTCTTCGTGATGGTGCTCGGTAGTGCGGGAGAGCCTCCGAGTCGAGCCGCTGCTCCCTCCGGATCGAGAGGAGCCCGTCAAGGTGATTCGGGCACCTGGAACGGAACCAACCCCGAGTACTCTACCGGGCAGCAGCACGTCCCACTGGGGCCGGCCCAGGCGACTGCTGCTGGCGGGACGATGTCGCTCAGCTGGCCTAGGGACGCCTGGGTATTCCCCAAAAAGAGCTGTAGTCTCTGCACAGCAGTGTATATTGTCTAGTAGTGTATAGTGTGGTGTATAGTGTAGTGGTGCTGGAGTCTGTCGCCAGGGAAAGGGAGGTCTGGACCGCCACTACCGCACAGGCTGTTGCCCTCAATATGCGCAGAGACGTGATCACACAATGCGAGGGAGTGTGTTTTTTACGTGTTCCTGCCAACGAGAACCACATACCCATCATCGACCAAGACGTCAACAGTGGACCTCGCCTCTGGAATCGCGCTATGGAACAACCTACAATCTCGGGAGTAACTGGCGAACAACGTGGGACATCCGGAATAAACGGCTCATTCGATACCCAAGCACCATCGCACCTCCTCCTGGCTTTGACATTACTCCTAGAAGGCACTGGGTGTTAACCATCAACCGCATCAGGATGTCAACAAGCCGTTGCCGCACATCTCTTCGTGAATGGGAAAATGAAAGAAAAGCTGCCAGGACTGTCGTGCGAGTGTGGCCACCTAAACTATGGACCAGAGCCGGCCCAGCCACTAAGCGACCCTTGCAATTGCAAAGGGCCCCGTGGCCAGCAGAGGGCCCCCTAGAGTCACTGCTAGCTCGTGGGTGAAAAAAATCATACATCAAAGTGGCCTCCAACCCAAATTTTGCTTAGGGCTCCCAAAGGTCTAGGGCCGGTTCTGCTATGGACCGTATCATGGTAAACCACTGCAGTTTGCACTTCTTCAACAAAGGATCTCGACATTTGCATACTAGCTCCTGAACATATTGCCATACACAAAAAAATAATGATAGAATCATATATAATAGGTGACGTTTCGGGCAATCTCCCTTCATCAAAGCAATTGTCATTTCATTGTTGTGCTCGCCCAGGGGTCTGCAATCAATATAGCACGAGTCATTTTTTGTTCGAATTTACTGAAACTTATTTTATTTCACATGAAATCGCTCGATGGTGGATGGGTGGCCACCATGCATAGAGCAGGTGTTATAGGCTGCTGCTCGGTTACGCAGAAGGCAGGCAGTGCAACCAAATCCATTGTATTATACACATGACCCAACGTCTATGCTCCGTGCTGCCTTCAACCCACACTGACCAGCGTGGTGGACTGGTCAAATACACCCCAGGACATACACGACATGGGGAGGCTGTGCATGTACAACATCATTAGTGGCGCACATTCAGTCATGGATTCACTTGATCGTTGCCCCAATAACTCCAGATTTTCCATTCTCAATGGAGCCTCGACCTTACTGCAAAGTAATTACTTCAGCTCCATGTACAGAATACTTTAACCCTCCATGAATACTGTGTTTAAGAAAAACTTCCAGACATGTAACAACTGATTTGACTGTCATATCATGATCTTTAGAATAACTTTTTACTCTCGATCATACACTGTAATTGGACTGAATTTTCAGTGGTTTCATTACAGCCATGATCAATTTACTGCTGGATGAAGGCCACTCCAAGCCATTGCCATCTCTCATGATCTGATGCAACAAATCCCACACCTCCAACTAGCACACATCTTGCTTGCACACAGATTTCATCGCTCCATCTTTGTGGAAGGTGTCTTTTTTGGCTCATTCCCTCCTTTGATTGCTACTCCATCATTAGTCTTGACCACTGGCTCTTCTTCTTCCATCTCGTGATGTCCCGTCCATCACAGAAACAGTGTTCATGGGTTGTCATGACTTGTCTTCAGGATATCAGAGATGATGAATATTTTTATATACTGTATTTATACATTTCTAAAAACCTATATGTTTGGAAAGTATCTCCTCATGGCAATGAATAACTTTGACGAAAGCGTATATCCATGTCTGACTCTAACAATATGTATTTTGGTATTCTCAACGTAGGTGTTATTTAAAAAGAAATGGTTTACCTTTAATAAAAATAAGTTCCGTCTCAGTGAGAGCTTAAATGAATATAGAATTCAACCAGGTAAAAACGAATACATTTGTTTTATATACGGTACTGCGTTGGTAGTAGTACATATGCATGCATACCAAAAAAATCAGCACATTCATCAATAACACTGCCCTAAATGGAAAACACTGAAAAAATAATAGATGACATTTCGGGAAATATCCATACTTAATAGCACATATGTGCTTCCTCAATGTCTCTAGACTTATGGATATTAAATAATATCATGTCGTCTTTAAATCTCTTCATGGCCTTGCCCCACCATAGCATACCTCTTATCTCCTTCTATGTCCTCTCTTATAGTCTTCATTC